AATTGTCTCAGTAATCCAGTTATCTACATTTTCATTGTTATCTTTAATAAAAGATCTCGACAAAAGATCTGCAACGTACATAAATTTGCCAGGGAAATACTTTAAACTTAGATAATACTTAAATAATTTAGTAGGCATGCGCTGTAACCTGGATGAGGCTATGTCACAAACTTTTTTTATCAAGAAGGCCAACCAGTGTTTTATGGTCTGTAATTACATTTACTAACCGACCATAGATAAAGTTATGAAATTTCTTTGTAGCAAAGACAATTGCCAACATTTTCTTTTCAATTTGAGCAAAACCAATTTCACTTTTACTCAAAGACTGGATGCATAAAACACTGGTTTGGTTTCTTGCATAAGACAGCAACCTAAACCATATTATGACGCATCAGCCTGTATGGTTATTTCTTTTTTAGTGTTAAAATTTGCTAAAACTGGTGCTTTTGATATAATTCTCTTTAAGTTGTCTAAAACTAAAGTGTGATTCGGTAACCAATCAAAACACACATTGTTTTTTAACACCTCTCTAAGTGGGGCTGATATTTCGGATAAATTTGGAATGAATTGTCGCATGAAATTTACCATGCCTAAAATACCCTGTAATTCCTTTTTGTTTTTGGGAATGCCAAAGGCATTTATTGCTTTTACTTTATTTGAATCAATTTTTATACCCTCAGAGGAAAATATGTGCCCTAAATACCTTACAGACAAAGATTTATATTGAATCTTAGATTTATTAAATTTAACTCCCAAATTTATTGCTCTATTAATTACTTTACTTAAAATTTCATCGTGTTCGTTTTCGTTTTTTGCCGCTATTAATAGATCGTCAAAATATATTTGTACACCTGGGATATCATCAAAATTCTTGTTATTAATGTACTGAAAATATTCAGGGGCCATGCTTAAACCAAAAGGAAGTCTATTGAATTTCCAGCAGCCATAATTTTCTTTCCAATTTGTTCTAAAATTTTCATTGGTATAATGTTGACCTTAGCTCCAGTATCCAGTTTAAAATTTACAGGTACATTATTAACTAATATTTTTTCATACCATGAACTGACACGATTGATATTTTTAACATTTATTGTGCTAATTAAGGCTTCTTCTTGCTGTTGTACTTCTTTTTCAATGTCCTTAACATTTTTTACTTTGCATGACACAGCAAAGTGATTTAGCATACCACACTTTTTACATTTTTTATTAAATGCAGGGCACTGTCTTGGACCATGAACTGTAGCACATCTATAGCAAGTAAAGGTGTTACATTTACCAGTCTTTCTTTTTTAAATTTATAACCATTTTCATACTTGTTAACTTTTTTAGGCCTCACAGCATCAACGGGTGTTTTATTCTGCAATGTATTACTTTGCATTTTAGAAACTTCTGCTGCTCTACAGATATCAATGGATTTTTTTAAATTTAAGTCATCAACCCTAAGTAGTCTTTCTTGCAAACTTGGGTCTGCAATGCCTAAAACGACTCTGTCTCTCAGCATTCCATCAAGAAGTGTTTCAAGTTTGAGATAACTTTCTAATATCAGTCAAAAAATTTTTAAATGACTCACCATCTAATTGTTGTCTTTTATAAAATTTAAACCTTTCATAGACAATATTTTTCTTTGGATTACAATAGGCTTCAAAGGCTTCCATAGCATTTGTTTCTTTTACTCTATCTTCTTCTCTAATATCTAGAGTATTAAATAATTTAATAGCTTCTGCTCCAGCTATGCTAAGAAATATATTTGTTTTAATTTCTTCAGACTTCAGATTTTTTTCGGTAGCTTTCATGTAAATTTGGTAGCTTTGTTTGAATTTTTTCCAGTTCGCACTAATATTGCCGTCAAGACTCAACTGACTTGGTTTTCTAGCTTCATCCATATTTAAAAATGTTTTTAAACTAAGCGTCAATTAGTGGACTTGATGTTCAAAAACTTTCTTTTACGTTGGTTAAAAACTTTCAACCAATTGGAAGATATACTTAAGTATATCTTCTTGTAAACTTTCGACTGCGCCATGTCGTATATTCGTATGTTATTAAAACTTCAGGTACACTTGTATGAGGCGCCGTTTGTGCCATAATTAATCTCTCCTATATATATTTAATTTTGCATATTTATGTATTTTTTACAATATATATATATATATTTATTTCATATATTTATACATGTTTTCTATATAATATATATATATTTATTTTTATAAATATATATTAGGGTGTGCCAAAAAAACTCGATATTTTTTTTTTCTTGCTCTCCACCCAAAATATCGTAGAATATGTCCAAACAAATATTCTGTTAAAAGCGGAGCTCATAATTTCAATTTTAAGAGGTCCCTCATCCTATCTGAAGTTTTGCCGCTTAAATAACACAGAAAACTGACTTTTTTACCTTATTTATTCTTGCAACCTAGGAAGAATTTTTTTTTTCATAAAATCCATGACTAATTCTTACAAAGCATTAAATTTGGACAAAAAATCTTATTAAGCCGAATTTCTATTTTCATTATTTGATTTTTTCCAGAGCTTTAAATTTAAAGTTAATAATACAAAAATGATGAATTTATACTCCTGTAACTTTTAGAATATTAACGATACAAAAAATTCGCCTTAAACTTTTATGTGGTCCATCAGACAAGCTAAAAAATTGCCATTTGACTTTTTTGTCTAACTTCAATAGTTTAGCTGAAAAAGGCAAAAAACGTAAAATTTGAAATTTAAAGCTCTGTAAAAAATCAAATAATGAAAATAGAAAATCGGCTTAATAAGATTTTTTTGTCCAAATTTAATGCTTTGTAAGATTTGGTCATGGATTTTATGAAAAAAAAATTCTTCCTAGGTTGCAAGAATAAATAAGGTAAAAAAGACAGTTTTCTGTGCTATTTAAGCGGCAAAACTTCAGATTCGATGAGGGACCTCTTAAAATTGAAATTATGAGCTCCGCTTTTAACAGAATATTTGTTTGGACATATTCTACGATATTTTGGGTGGAGAGCAAGAAAAATATCGAGTTTTTTTGGCACACCCTAATATATATATATATAAATAAATAAATTTATATTTAAATGTACAAATATATATTTGTATTTGGTTTTAATATATTTATAAAATTCGACTTCACCCGTTGATCGCTAGAGGGGCTGCTCAACTGATCAAATGTGTCAACGCTGTAGCTAGGGCCTCACCGAATTAGCCAATGGGAGGTTTTGTTTACTAATTTAAAATAACGGTAAACATTGTTTTCCCTGTGTTCTCATTATTTTATGATACAAAGATTTAATTTAAGTGTATGTTCTTTGGGTGTAGGTATCTTGGATTTAAAGCGCCTTTTAAACCGCTGTTGTATGGTTTTATTTAGGGAGACACGTAGATACTCGCAATATTCCGTTTTATTAATAATTTTAAAACACGGGGTAAATTTTTTTAACCAGGCATACACCTTGCAGAACAAACCGTTATTTCAATTCGTAAACAAAAGCTCCTATTGGCTATTGGCGTTGCCACATTTAATAAGTTAAGCAGCGCCTCTAGCTATCAAATGGTGAAGTCGAATTTCATAAATATATTAAAAGCAACTACAAATATATATTTGTGCATTTAAATATATATTTAAAAAAATAAATATATATATAAAAACAAATATTAAAATATGAAATACAAATACATAAAGTAAAAAATAAATATATATTTGGTAAAAAATAAATATATATTCAAAATTATATATATATATTGGAGAGTTTAATTATGGCACAAACGGCGCCTCATAAAAAAATTAAATATATATAGGAGATATTAATTATGGCACAAACGGCGCCTCATACACTTGTAACATTTATATTTATCTTAGAACAAAAAACAACAGGAAGGAGTCTTGTCATTCTTTAGCCGTACTAAAATTGCGGCCGAAGTCGGCCATTTGCAAGCTCCAAATTATGACACATTTGTGATGCTATATTTGTCAAAGTTGAATGTTTTATGTGTTTGTCGGTGTTTTATGTTGTTTTTCTGGTTAAATTAACTTTAAATAAGCGTTTCATTGTTTCTAGACAATATTGTATTTGATATATTCTCGTTTAAGTGTAAATATTTAAAGTTTAAGATATAAATATTAGTGTTTAAGGTGTAAAAACAAATTATGGTTAGTTGTGCAGCTTGTGGTTGCTCCTTAAGCACAAAAAATTAAAAATATTCATTTACATTTCATAGGCGAGTATTTTGGTTAACGTTTAATTTATTTACTTATTGTATATTTTAAAATAATTAGTTGTAAATATTAAACATAAATCAATGTCAAATAACGTAACCTTAGAACATAACCATAACCTAAGAACGTAACCATCATAGAAAAAACCATAGGCGTATCATATTTTCTGATACTAACCTAATTATTATAAAAATTAAACTTCAATTGTATTTACTATGCCACTGTCAAACGGAAACAACTATCCGCCATATTGAAGCTCCACTTTGGACCAAAGGTCATTTATTAAATGCTCCTTCCTGTTGTTTTTTGTTCTAAGATATTTATATTAACTTGTAATTGAACATCACGAATACAGCGGGAAACTTCAATACTGACTTGCTTGTACAACCAAGGTTCTTGATCATTGTTATGCCTAAGCATCTACAACAATATCTATGTTACATCAGCGCGGTGCAAAGTCCGGCAACAGTGTGCGCGGGAGAGACTTTGACCAGCGACGCGGCGATCGGGCGAACAGGTGATTTGAGCCGGCGAATGTGTATAGGCGTGCGAATACATTGTTAATTACTTTTGCGAATAAATACGTTAATTTAAAGTGGATTATTATTATAAAACTATTTCATAACAATTCAGAAGTGGGATAGTGCTACGTGCTTTAGTTAGTGGCGTATATTCGGTGTGTGGCGAGAAAAATCGTGACAAAGAAACGGCGTGGGTGTCGACCATTTTTTGTTGATAAAACGATCAGTGTTTTTGTTAGTTTTTCGTTCGTGAGGCGCGCGGGAAAAGCACAGCAATGAGTAAGGAGGATGTTTTATCTATCCGTGGCGATGACGACGTGGATTCTTTAGCCGGCGAATTGAGATTGGGGCCCACTTCGACTCCAAGGCAAGGGCAAGGCGAGGCGAGCAGTTCGGTTGGGCTGACTGATGCTCAGGTGGACAAGGTAGTGGAAGCATTGTTGGCGAGGGGGCTAACTGACAAGCTGGTGAAAGCAGCCAAGCGGCAGGCGGCTGAGGTGGCTGTCAATTTAAGAGCGAACTCTCCAGGTGTGGCGAGTTCTTCGAAAGAATCGACGACGGCGATAGGCGAGGGGGTAAGTAAACGGGGTTTTACTATGGCGGCGGAGATGGTGGAGCGGTTCGACCCGGAAGAACCTGATTGCGATGTGGTCAGGTGGTTAAATAAAATCGACCAGCTGGGCCATATCCATGGCTGGAGTGGCTACGAGCGTAGCTTTATGCTGCAAACGAAATTATCCGGCGCGGCGAGGGCATGGTTCAGGAGGTTGGAGTCATACGATCACTCGTGGGACCAGTGGAAGAGTTTTTTGGCGGCGGCGTTCCCAAGGAGGCGAGATTTCCACGAAATGCTGGCGGAAATGTTCAACCGGCAGAAATTGGCCTCTGAGACAATGACCACTTATTTCCACAGCAAGCTTGATCTGTGTGGGCGGGTAAGCATTACTGGTGAGGCGGCGGTTTCTTGTGTGATTGCAGGACTTCCAAATGAGTTAAGGGCGGGTGCATATAGTGTGTGCAGCACCACTCCGCAACAGTTATACAACACCTACTTGGCGGGGTTGGACAACTACCAGGTGGGAAGGCCTTCGACCAGGGTGGCGGCTCCTTTTGCAGGAAAACCATCCTCCAGGTACGGCGAACCGACGGCGATGGCGGCGGCGACGATGACGGCAAAGAGGCGGCTTCCAGCGGACCCTGTAAGGTGCTACAACTGCCAAGAGCTGGGAAACCATTTTAGTCGGGACTGTCCCAAGGCTAAAGTGGAGAGGTGCAGGCGATGCGGCGAGACGGGGCACATTGCGGTGGACTGTTCAAGGAAGCGCGGGCGAGTCGAAACTCATGTAAGACTTTTAGTTGAACCTAATGATGCTACTTTTAGGCAAACCGTATATGTTAACGGCGAGGCGATAAGGGCGTACATCGATACGGGGAGCCAGCAAAATTTAATATCGGCGAAGACGGCGTATAAGTTGGGACTACCAGTTGACCAACTAGGTGGCGGCGTTGCACTATGTGGCTTTGGCGGTGGTGTGGCGCTAAGTTTGGGAAAGGTCAATTTCGAGGCGCTAATTGGCGAGTCTGACCTTCAACTTACGGCGTTGGTCACGGATGTGGATCTGGGCAGGATTGAGCTACTGATTGGACAACCGGCACTTCAAATTCCTGGCGTTACGTTGGTTGTTCGCTCCGGGAAGGCGACGTTGGTAAGAAGCGAAAACTTGTGTGACGTTTTTAGGCATCTGAACATCGACGTAGAGGCACCAAGGCGCAAAATGGTCCTAAGCGAAGATTTTGAGTGTGGGCAAGGCGAAACGGCGCAAATGAAGGTGGAGGTGGAAGGCGGCCAGCCAGGTGAGGCTGTATATTGCGAGCCCCTTCTGATCAATGACGGGCGCAACACTGTGGCGATTCCGGCGACTGTTTGGCGAGATGGCGACAAATTGACGTGTATGAACCTAGGCGTCCAACCCTTAAGGTGGTCCAAGGGGCGGGTGGTGCGGCGGATGAATCCATGCAAAACTGCAGTAATTGGCGGCAGAGCTCAGGTAAATACCATTTCTATTAAAAATAAATTAGATCTTTCTGCTATTAAAATCGGTAATGTGTCAGAGAAATGTAAACGGCGATTGCATGAACTTTTACGGAGAAAAGCGATTTGTTTTTCAACTGGCGATGACGATGTAGGGTTGACTAATCTTGGCGAAATGAAAATTAAATTAACCACTGACGTACCGGTATATTATAGACCTTACAGACTAGCATTGGCGGAACGGCGATTAGTACAAAATAAGGTGCAAACTCTTTTAGAATCGGGCGTAATTAAAGAGAGCGATTCAGCATATGCAAGCCCTATTGTTTTAATACCTAAGAAAACAGGCGAGGTGAGACTTTGTGTTGATTACAGGGCGTTGAATGCTATAACGGTGAAAGATAGGTATCCATTGCCCTTGATTTCTGATCAATTAGATAGACTGGCGAATAAAAAGTATTTTACAACCCTTGATATGGCGCAGGGGTATCATCAAGTTCCAATGCATCCAGATTCGGTTGATAAAACGGCATTTATCACCCCGGATGGCCAATATGAATATTTAAGGGTTCCTTTTGGATTGTCAAACTCTCCGGCGGTATTCCAAAGAATCGTGAATAAAATGTTAGGTAACCTACGGCATGATCAGGTCCTTGCATACATGGACGATCTCTTAATTCCATCTGAGGGCGAAGAGCAGGGTTTAACTTTACTAGAAACGGTGTTAGATCTTGTTCAAACGGCGGGCGTAAAATTAAAGTTAGATAAGTGCTCATTTTTGGCGGACACAATCGAGTACCTAGGTCACGAGATTAGCGCAGGCGGGGTGCGACCGGGCAAGCGTAAAATTCAGGCGGTAATGCAATTTCCTAGACCAACAAATGTACACGGCGTTAGGCAATTTGTAGGATTAGCCTCATACTTTCGAAAATTTGTTAAAAACTTCTCGGTCACGGCGAGGCCATTAACTGAACTGACCAAAAAGGATCAAAAATGGGAGTGGGGTGAGATGCAACAAACGGCGTTTGACACTTTAAAAGAAGTTCTTGCAGGGCGACCTATATTGGCAATGTATAACGGTGAGGCGGAAACTGAACTTCATACTGATGCAAGTAAATGGGGATTAGGCGGCATTTTGATGCAGAAGAGTGATGACTCTAATTCTGCCTGGCGACCGGTAGAATATTTTAGTACAACTACGTCATCGGGAGAACAAGTATACCATAGTTATGAACTTGAGACTCTGGCGGTAGTAGAATCAATTAAAAGATTTAGGGTTTATCTGCTAGGGATACACTTTAAGGTAGTAACTGATTGCGTGGCGGTAAGGGCGACTCTCGTTAAGCGTGATCTTATTCCTCGCATAGCACGGTGGTGGTTGGCGATACAGGAATATGATTTTGAAGTAGAATATCGACCTGGCGGGCGAATGGCGCATGTAGACGCATTAAGTCGAAATCCTTTTCAGATTGGCGAGGTGCAAAACATTCCTCACGGCGTAGATATCCGTATTGTATCTCAGGTCGAAGACGATTGGTTTCTTACTGTCCAATTGCAAGACCCCAAGGCGCGAGCGTTAATTACTGCTTTGTCATCCGGCGTGGCTGATAGGGACCTCAAGGCAAATTATAAAATAAGGGGAAATCGTTTATTTAAAGTTACAACAAATGGCGAAAAATTGTATGTTCCTGCGATGGCGCGATTTAATTTATTACAAAAACATCATGATGACATTGGACATCCAGGGTTTGCTCGGTGTTTGGCGCTTCTACAAGAAACTTACTGGTTTCCCAAAATGCGGCGATTTGTACTTAAATATGTTCGGTCTTGCTTACGGTGTTCATTTGCGAAATGTAATTATGGGAGGGGCGAAGGCTTATTGTATCCAATCGAACGGCGACCAATTCCTTTTGATACAGTTCACATAGACCATCTAGGCCCTTTCGTGAAGAGCTTGCGAGGAAACTCATACCTTCTCGTATTGGTGGATGGTTTCACAAAGTTTGTTTTAGCTAAGCCAACTAAGACTTTGAGATCAACGGAGGCGATAAATCGACTAGGCGAAATTTTTAGCGAATTCGGGTATCCGCGGCGAATTATAAGCGATAGAGGATTGGCGTTTACTAGTAAAGTATTTGGCGAGTTTCTCATGGCGCATGGAGTGAAACATGTACTTAATGCGATTGCAACCCCTAGGGCGAACGGACAGGTGGAGCGCGCGAATCGTACTATTATACAAGCACTAGCTGCTAGTGCTGAGACTGAAGGTAGGTGGGACGAGAAGCTGCCCGACATTGTCTGGGGCCTTAATAATACAGTCAATGCGAGCACGCATTTCTCTCCTGCTCATCTGATGTTCTCACATAATCACGGAATCGTAGCTGATTTGGCCAACGGCGAACTTGCAAGTAAAACAGGTGCGGATGGCGAAAATCCGAATGGCAACGGTGAAACTGCCATGGAGACGGACGATGTTGCTGCGGCGAGCCACGGCGAAGGCGAATGCAGACAATCGGTGCGGCGTACTAGTAGGCTAACAGCAACCCCGGGTTCCCTTGTGCGACTGCAGCCGGATGACGATCTGGATGCTATTGCACAAGATATCGATGCATCGGCGTCAAATGCAACAACGGGCGCGGTAGTAAGGCGGGCGATCGGTGATAAGCTACAGGTGATCCGTGATGCGGCGTTGGGGAATATTAATAAGTCTGCGCGGCGAATGAAGGCGCAATATGATAAAAAGCGTAAAACATCTAAGGGCTATAAAGTCGGCGACTTGGTTTTGTGGCGCAAAGCGGCGACTGCGAGGTTAGACTCCAAGGTTAATCAAAAATTGGCGAATAAGTATGATGGGCCATTTAGGGTAGGTAAAGTATTGGGAAATGACCGTTATATTATTGAATCGATTAAAGGCGTCAGAGGATATAAGCGATTCTCTGCGATTGTGGCGGTAGATTCTATTAGGCGTTATCACGGCGTGAATGAACTTTCAGAAGAATCAGGCGATGATTCTGGCGAGGAGATGGATCGACTTGATTTGATCGATCTTTTAGAGTCATAATTATAACGTATTAATGAGGACATTAATTTTGCAGGAAGGCCGAATGTTACATCAGCGCGGTGCAAAGTCCGGCAACAGTGTGCGCGGGAGAGACTTTGACCAGCGACGCGGCGATCGGGCGAACAGGTGATTTGAGCCGGCGAATGTGTATAGGCGTGCGAATACATTGTTAATTACTTTTGCGAATAAATACGTTAATTTAAAGTGGATTATTATTATAAAACTATTTCATAACACCTATTTCTAAATTGCAGACATCTGTACAAACGCTATTTGCAAATGTCAATGTCAATAATAATTTTTGAATTATTAAATACATTTTTGCGCCTTAAAAGTGATAAAACGTGTTAATGGTAGTGAAATGTATTGTTGTTGGGTGCGGAAATGTAACCAATTTGTAAGTATTGACTATCCTGCCGCCCTAAGCCAAAAAGACTCATCTCGTTATTATTAAATGATTCTCTTAGCAAAAAAGACGCATTTTATTTATACATACATTTTTAAGTACTATTTCTCCTAAAAATTTCTAATTAATGGCGAGTTTACGTTGAATAAAAATAACAAATAAGAGATAACAAATAACAAATAACAATTAAAAACTAAAGTTAAAGGATTGTTGTATATTGTAAACGTTCATACTCATTAAAATAACAAATAAGAAATAGGAGATAAGATAAGAAGTTGACAATTTTTAACTTACGAGTCTTATTTCTGCGTATAAACCTGCGCTGTAGTGAAAAAGTCGCTCGACTTAAGTGACCAACCTAATATTGCAAAAGTTGGACAATTTGAAAAACCCTAAATGTGTCAAAATCTTGAAAATTGTTGTTTACTTCTTGTAAAATACATTTAAATAATTTAACAACTGTGATATTATAATGGATGATAAACAATTAATTAATCTTGTGCGGGATTTCCCCGAAAGGGAAGTTTTTTTGCTTTTTGGCTCATAACTCGATAACCGTGCAATTTTTCAGAATTTAACTTGTAATACTTTTGATTACGTACTAAATAAAACCCCATTGCGCACCTATATGATGTGCCATTTTGCTATGCGCAGTGTGCAAAGTTGAGCGTTGCTTTCAAAATCACTATTTTGTTGTTTTTTTTATTATAGCCCAATTTTAAAAGTAATCTATCACGAACCATACGGTAATTAAACATAACCGAATGGACGATTTTTTGAGTAGGGTACTAGACTTTTTTCAAAAGTTACTGTTTTTCAATGTACTTTTTTTTCAAAACTTTAATTTTTGTGGGGCACTTGCAATGAAAATAATTTAAAAAAACCCAGGCCAAGCCCAGGCTACTTATGGTTGTTTAAAAACCAAGAGTTGGCAAGATGGATTTTTCACAGTTAGTTAGAACTTGCCAAAAGTCCACATTCAAAAGCCTTGTACAAATTCCTATATGTATATGTATAAGTAGCCTGGACTAAATTACCAAATTAAGACTAATATTTTTTAGGTTTGCACTCCCAAAACAAAAACATATTCATGAATACCGATTATGTATTTAATATGTACATATAGATGTATGTATTTTATTTTATATTATATTATTACTACAATAAATAAATCTTATATTCATACTTGTTTTATTTAAAATACAGCAGTAAATACAATATATAAAGGCATCAGCATTCAAATATCGCGCCAATAAATGTTACAGAAATCTACATCAATTTTTGGCATTACTAAGGGTATTGTAGACCTAGATGGCGTTAATTTACTTCAGCCTTTTGCCGCAAGCGCTAGGGCACAGGCTTTATTATAAAAGTGAGGTCAAATGTTTAACAAATAAAATTGGCTTTAAATTCCTCTTTGTGTTCGTCGTAGATAAAGTATAGTACACTCCTTTTATAAACTTCTCTAGACACTTATCTTTTTTAAACACTCGCTGGCAAGCTTCGCTTCTGCCTTATAAAACTAGTAACTAAAATGGCGTTTATAAAACTTGGTCCATAATATACTATTACCACCTAAAAGTTGCTTTTCAGTATGTACTTATTTTCGTAAAGTACGTACCTAATTTCTATCTCTAGTCATCTAACATGTGAAATGTTTAAGTTAGAGCGAGTTCAACTTAGAGAGAGTGAAGAAACATAAGTTTAAAATTACCTAATTAAAATAAGTTTTAGTTACATATTTATACATACAGGGTGAAAAGTTTCCACCCCGGTTTTCTCAAGTGTTGCGAAAAAAAATAAAATACGCATCTATTTTAATTTTAGGGAGACAATTTATTTTTATATTTTCGACCCCATATAAACCTCAACAGCGTTACTTTAAAAATTGTCAAATTTTTGCCAAAGAAGCGATTTTATTTTGTTAAAAATAGTTTATTTTAAGGGACTTACTTTAAAGGTAGGTATATGTGTATAATTTTTTTTTGTTAAATTAAATATATTAAATACATTAGACTGGGCCAAAAAAATCAACAATTTTTTTTTTGAAAAGTATATCGAAAATATGGTTTGGGGCGACAAAAAAAAATACTGTGAAAGTTTGAGTCCATAATATTAATATTAAGAGGTCTATCATCGCAATTTTAATTTTTTTTTCCTCATCAACTTTTTGTCTCAGAACTTTCAAACCATTGAGTGTAACAAAATAATAATAATGCTTTATTGAACTAAAACCAAGTTAGCTATTGACCGTAGTCCTCCAGCCGTTTAACAAAATTTACTTAAAAAAAAATTTTTTCAAGAAAATTAAATGCTCTACAAAAAAGGTTAAATGAAATTTTTTGTCAGATGAACCGTTTCCTTAAAATCATGCCCTAAACATTGGTATAGTTTTACATTTTGATCTTTTAACTTTGGAATTTTAAAATTCATGTAAAAATCAGTACCCATAAAAAACCGATAAATATTCTTATGTGAAATTAAATGCTTTACAAAAAAAGCCTCTTATATTAGCCTCTTATATATAGAGCAATTAATTTTCTTAAAAAAATATTTTTAAGTAAATTTTGTTAAACTCAATGGTTTGGGAGTTCTGAGACAAAAACTTGATGAGGGAAAAAAATTAAAATTGCCATGATAGACCTCTTAATATTAATATTATGGACTTAAACTTTCACAATAATTTTTTTTTGTCGCCCCAAACCATATTTTCGATATACTTTTCAAAAAAAAAAAAAATAGTTGATTTTTTTGGCCCAGTCTAATGTACATAACAATGATCCTTGGTTAAATTATTTGATTACGAAAATGAATTTATGCATTTGAATTTTTGTTTATAAAAAACGTTTTTTTCAAAGCCCCTGTGGCAAACAAAAAATGTTATTGTGTCGATCAGTGTAATCAGATTAGGTAAAATAAAAATAACCCTTTAATGTTTTAGTCAAATTTTTATCAAGGTCTATTAAGATTTTAATAATATTATCAGTAATTTAATATGTTTTATATTTATACAACTAAATCCTAGAAAAACATTAATTTATGGTAATTATAAAATAAACAGTAGGAGATAGCATTGTACAATTTAATTATAATAACATTTCAAAAATTATCTGGTGTTACAAAAATGTTGCTATCTATTTTTTTCTTATTTAATTATATGTGATAATTTTAATTTTTATAATGGCACAAACAAGTAAAGGTAAGCTAAAAATTATACATTTATTATTGGATCTTGCATTTATAAATGTTATGCAACTCCCTCTTACCAAACTGAGATAAAGTCGCCGCGGCGAATGTTTTCCGTTGCGTCATCAATTTTAAAAACCGGTTTGTTGACATAAATCCCAAACACTATACAAAGAAAACAGCTAATTGTAATGTCTGTGCTTCGTTTACACATTGATGACTCAACGATAAACATTCGCCGCGGCGCGCCCACACTGGGCTGAAAAGCCTGATGCCGATCAAAACTAATTTTAACAAAAACTACAAAAGATATTAACTTGCAATTTGGGCTACATATTAATGCATAACATATGTAAAATTCACATGACGGAAGGTGAAATGGGAAAAATTTTTTCCCCGTAAATGATTATAATGTTATACCTTTACAAATGTGAATTAAAAATAAACTTAATTTATCGTTAAGGGCTTTAACACATTTTTTTTAATATAATACCAAGGATATAATTCAACAAACAATTTAGCCGTATTTGCGCGATAAGTTGTAAAAGAATCCACCTTAATACCTGAACCACTTGCCAATACTTGGAGTATGATGTTAAACCTTCTTATTGGTTAACATCAACCCCAGTTATTTCAGCTGTTAATTCTGGCTGGTAAAATAACCTTCTGGCAGTATTGCCACCATTAGATGGACCGGAACCTTGTTTTGGAACATCTATTATAAGCCCAGTCCTTTTTCGGAATTCTTCCTGAATGTTTTTATTCGTTCCAATCCTTGCGCTTTTATTGGCTACAGAGCGAGCTGACCAAGCTTTGAAGGAAAGATTGTACCCTATAGGCAAAATGCACTCCATTAATCGTATCCAGGCATGTAGACTGGACAAGCCGTATTCAAGTGCATCTTGCTTAACATGATTATTTCCTATATGCTCTAATTTATTCATTTGTGTGGGGTTGGCACCACAAAAAATTCGAGTTGTGGAAGATGCCGTTTCGGTGTACTCGACCATGGTGGTAAATAAAAGATAATTTACACTAAATTTCCTTTTACCAATCGAAATTAAAAGTGGTTGTAAATTAGAAATTTGACTCATTTGTCATTTACCACCATCCTAGTCTTCTCTGCATCTTCTTTCGCATATTGAAACATAATTGGACTATAGTATTTAATTAGAGAATGGTAATCATTGTCCCAAATGACCTTTTCGTTATCGTCTTTTAGCTGTAATGGTACTTATGAACCCTTAAACAAATTTGCATCTGTGAAATCTTTCGAAATTTGTTGCTTATATTCAGCCAGGCCAGATAATCAATCACATCCTACTAGTATTAAATTTTCAGTAGCACAATTTTCACATGATATTAATTCTTGTAAGCCTACCGATGCACCCAGTTCATCTATGTGCATATTTTCGGGAGAGCATAGTTTTTTGGATGCTACAATGAGATCGCTGTACGCAACTTTTTGTATTGTGATTTGGATTAATTTAGATCCAAATATAATGCCAAATCCTCCTCGTTTGAGAATGGTTTATCATATGAAGGATTCCCCTTTTCATGTTTTAATTTATTTTCATATACATATGAAACTCCTTCCAGTTCTCTAAGAACTTGGGCTTTTCTTCATTTTTTGATCTATCGGAACATTCGTAAAACAGTTTTTGATTGAAACCTTTGTTTACTGTATAATAGATATTAGTCTTTCTTTCACATTCTTCTCAAATCGATGTATTTTGGATTTAATCATCTATATATAGACCTATAGGTTTGCCAATTCTGTTCTCAATAAATGAATTTAAGTCCTTGAAATTAAAAATTATTTCAACAAGCTTTTTGCACAAGATAGTCGCTATATTTTCAAATGAATAAAAGAAGAATAAAACTAAGTTTGCATCATTATAAATAAAGTTTAAGGTAAACAAAATCTGTATACATTAATTTGATTAGGAATGTTAAGGTAGAAAATCCGATTTTCAAAATCGTAAGGATTAATCGTTATTATTATTGTTTTTTACGTATAAATTTACAATGAAATATTATTACCTGCATTCTAGCACTATATCGCAAATTACACAAGATGGCGGCCGAAGTAGATCTAAATTTTCTTGGAGCTACTTTAGCAAGATTAAACAAAGGAGAATTTGTTTTAATTATTCTCAGCAGGCAAGTGGAAATAGAAAGTGTCCAAAAAATGTCTGAAGCAACAGTAGAAAAACTTAAGCAAATGGTCAAGGCACATTCAAGTATTATTAACTGAAGAACATAGCAATAAACAATCAGATAAAACCAAAGATTTATTGGAAAAAATGGTATCACAGCTAGGGAGCAGAATAACTGAAGTAGTAATATTAAACATTTTACGGAGACAAACAACAGAAAAGTGAGGTTACATACAAAGCAATTTTGACAGAAAAGATAAGGCTATGGAGGAAAACAGTAAAAGTAAAAAAAAATCAATAAATCAAGCAAAAGTTTAAATACACACGATGACTAAAAAAACAGCAAAATGCTAACTTAAAAGAGTCTGAGTTGGCACATTATTAATTTAACAAAACACAAAAAGATCCGGAACTGAGAAGGTCGACGAAAAAACTGGGTTTGTTTGAGTCGACAGAAAAGCCTGGTTATAGATATATAATGTTAAAAATCATTTAACCACTGACATGATAAAAAAGTACTTAAAAGATAAATTGCAAATGGACTTAAATTTAATAAAATGTTATGACATAGATGGAGAGCAATAAACCAAAAAGGTTCAAAGTGGGTGCCCCAATGGACAAAAAAGATCAGCTATATCGAAATAGCTTCTGGCCAGAGGGGGTAGGAATAAAAAGATTTCGATTTAATAAAAATTCAGAAAAACCACCAGCAAATTTTTATAAATAGGAAAATAACATTTAATCAGAAAACAATTTTACATCAAAATATTCAATCAATCGGTAACGCTCATAACGAACTTCAGGAAATGCTGGAAAATAAAGTGAAATGTGATGTTGTGTGCCTGACGAAAACTTGGAGAAACGAAAATGAAATTAAAACATACAACCTAAAAAATTTCAAGTTATTGTCAGCGTTTGGCAGGAAAACGGACAACACGGGGGAGCAGCCATATATGCTAATTCAAATCTAATAGGGAAAGAAAGAAAATACGTTAAAATACTATCAAAACCAATGTATATAGAGTGTGCAGCATCAAAAATTACAATAGAAAAGGTTAAGTATATAAAAAAATTTAAGTTATTGTCAGCGTTTGGCAGGAAAGCGGACAGCACGGGGGTGCAGCCATATATGCTAAGGCAAATTTAATAGGGAAAGAAAGGAAATACGTTAAAATACTATGAAATCCAATGTATATAGAGTGTGCAGCAGTAGAAATTACAATAGAAAAGGTTAAGTATATTGTTATTTCAGTGTATAGGCCTCCACGAAATTCAAATAATTTTTACAAGATTGGAACAAATTTTAAATCTCTTAAGCATTGAAAATAAAAATATTATATGTGCAGGTAATTATAACATTGATTTAAGTAAACGACGACATCCCAATAACCATTATAAAATCTTCACTTATATACACTGTTGAACCAGTAACATGGATTATTAACAATTCATTCAAATTTCGAATTTTCCTAGATATGCTAAAATTGGCATTAATAAAACCTATTCATAAAAAGGATGATCCAGGAATGATGAATAATTACAGACCAATAAGCCTACTGCCCTGTTTCTCGAAAAATTTTGAAACATTAATGTGTAATGGACTCACCTCCTAAATGTTTCCCAAAAATTGTTCTCTGAAACAAAACATGGGTTTCTTAAAGGAAAAAATATAAATAGAGGGATATATCAATTTACACAATCAATATATAACGCAATTGAAACAAATAATCTTGGACTGGGTATGTTTTTCGATCTATCCAAGGCCTATGATTGCTTAGATTGCAATATTTTAATAAAAAAACTAGAAAGGTATGGAATAAGAGACCAAACCTTGGATTGGTTTAAATCATATTTTAGAAAAAGAATACAGTTAGTGGAAATAAAAAACGATGGTGGGTCATATAAATCAGATACAGGAACTAGGAGTTCTGCATGACAAACTGCACAGACAATACAAACCTGACGTTTGATAGATTACCCAGAATTATTAGCGCAGAGTGGTCATTGTTTTCAATGGTTCAAAAAAGTGTCACCGAAAACAATCTCATTCTAAATGCAGAAAAAAAACAATGTAATACTTTTTAAATCCAACCACTGGTCTCTTGAAAAGCCCAATAACTTAAAATTAAATAAATAAATAATTCAATACAAGTCAAATTCAAAATTTTTAGGTATATACATTGATGAAAATCTGTCATTGAAGCAACATATAGAATATCTGATAAACAGACTGGGCTCTGTAACGCATTGCATAAGAGTGTTATCAAAATATATGAACCAGAAGGCATTGAAAATAATCTACCACGCAAATTTTGTATCTATAATGTAACGAACGGGGAAAGGGGGCACACGTTAATAATTAATAAAGAATATTAAAACCACAAAAAAACTACCTTTGGCCAAAATACGTGATCGTCTAGTTTACAGAAATTAATTTAGGACCCCTTTTTGTTGTGAATACGGTTCTGGATACGTAAGTACTTGAGCAATTGAAAAGATATTTAAAAAGCAAATAAAAAGTATTAAATTAAAATAGGTTTATTAACAAAAACAATTAATACAAGAGTTAATATTATTGCTACTGTACATCAATAATATAAATAAAAAAGTTTGTATTTGAAAAGTATCATTGATTTAAGTTAATAAGGTAAAACCTTAAAAACCCACATATACAATACATGTCGCACATCTCAACAATATAAATAATACAACAAAATCAAAGTAATCAATATGAATATAATTAATTATATTATCATATTGCTAAGATTATTCACCTACTTAAATAATAGGCTCGGACGGTGTAGAAAAGTAAATACAAATTGAAATAATTATCAATGTATAGCAACAAACAACA